CAATCATGTAAGGTACTTTTCTATTCTTACACAGCCAGAGACAGGCTCTTCTTGAAGGCAGGTCATACGAGGATCTGTTGTTGTTTAACTTCAGCCAGCAAAATACCACAAAGTTGCTCTCACAGGTGTTGTCCCCACCCCGCACACACACTCCTACAGTGGAGGGGAAGAATAGTAGGAAAAAAAGACAAGAAAGCTCATAAAACTGAGATAAGAACTATATACTAATTGAATCTAAATGAATAATACGTATATATAAATGAATATATACAAATACTACTAATAAGTAATTGAAATTTTAGAAAAAAACTCAAATGTTACTATATGATACAATTGTTCACCACCTGCCGACCAACACAAATCTAGGTCCAAAGGAGTGAGAGTCAGAGCCTGAGAGCCCAAGAGCTGGAGTCCAAGAGGCGTAGCCCCAGAAAAATTGCAGCAGAGTCTGAGTGAACCCTATCAGCGACAGCACAACTGAAAATACAAAGAGACCCAACTCACTTGCAAACGAGTTAGCACAGGAGTTGGCAAAGCAGCTAACAAAGGAGTCAGAGTGAAGAGAGTGTAAGCAAGTGAAAGCATAATGTCTCCCCGAGTCCACTACCCACTTATGTATCTACCATGATGTATTACGGAATGAGATACTCCTTTGTTTAGTTTGGGTTAGCTGTCTAAACTGTGTATTCCCCTGCACTGCCTGTAGTGAGGAAGTTGAGAATGTAGCTGCAGGATCAGAAGCTGAGACTGTCCTTGAATTTGGTGCAACTGTCCTTGATTTTGAGTTAAATCAAAATCATAAGCTATGTGGCTGTGTTTTAGAAGACAGCTGGTTTTCTTCCATGCATTCTAGAGCTTTGGCTGTGGCCCTTTTGTGATCTTACTGTCTTCATCAGATTGCCACCTTTCCATGCTGCAGGCAACAACAGCTTCATTTACTCAGCAAGGCCTCAACTTCCAAACAAGATCCAGCCTCTAAGCAGAACAAACTGTTCTAGCAATCATCCTAGAACTTAGCAGATGTATACCACTTGCTAGTGGTTCTGGTTTATTGCTGAAACTTCCCCTTTCATTGCTTCCCAAGGGATGCCTTCCATGATTTACCCCCTAAACTCTCTTTCTTTCTTTTCCCTTTTTTATCATTGCTTCAAGAATCATGTCCACACTTACGAAATAATGAAGGATTTGAGGTTACATACATACCTGTTCCACAAGTACAGAACAAGTTGTCTGAAGGCAAGACAATTCACTGTATACCTTATTCATTATAATAATTTAATTTGGAAAGTCTTTTCATGGACCTGAGAAACAGATGAGATTACACATTTGCTAACATATTCATAAAGGTGAGCCTCACACAAAAAGATTGAGGACCAACCTGCTGAAGCTAGTTTGTAGATTACCACGGACATATCAGATCTGGAAACAAATCCCACTGATTACGACAGTATATGTTTTGCATACGGTAGAAATGCACCTCTTTTACGCAGAGAGTTTTCAGGTATAGAAAACAATCTCATGGTTTTGTAGAGGGCTTATATTTTAAATAATGCTGTCTCATTCATTAAACAATAAACAAATAACTACTTCCTCTTCAATTGTTGCAAATTATTAAGTTTTTTAATATAATAACTGTCCCCATTTCTCTAAGCATCTCTCAGACTGAGGATCAGTTATATCGTGATTTTTGTTGTGTACTATCTAAGTGTATGGAGCTATATACCCAGAAAATCATATCTGTGATTTATGGATAGCAACCTGTCTTCCCAGAAGCCTCCATTCCCTTTCTGTAAATAAATTTCAGTACAATTTATGCTGTTTCTCTCAATGTGACCATTGTAAAATATTATTTCCTTCTCACAAACAACCAGAATTTTAACTTAAGTAAACCTGGATGGCTGGAGAAACAATGAAGGATGAAACAACAGTTGTGGGGTGGGGGAACAGCAAGCTAAAAACATTAAGAGTGTCTCAGAATTGACAACTGCAGCTTTTTAGGATCAATGGCAGTTGCACTTCATTCAGGGCAAAATTTTGGCACTCTTCATCTAACCATACTTTAGATCTCACAGCTGAACTCATTAATGAATATCCCTCACAGTTAAAAATTAAAAAAAACAAAAAGAATATGAATGTGGAAGAAATTTGATGTTTGTAATTATTGAAGTAAACTCCATGACCTGCTGAATGTATGCAAAACGGACCCTGGATGGTGTATATAAAAGTGCCTTGTGCAAAGAATAAGAACAAGTACTGAGACTTCTGTGATTCTATGATTCTGTGATTCTGCGATTCTGATTCTTTCTGGAAGAGCAAGTCATCGTACAGGATTCCTACCATGAGTAATAAGGGGGCTTCACTGAAAGGTAAGACTTATGCCGTTGACTTACTGATAACTTTTATATTTCTTTAGATTTATATTTCTTTAAATTTAGAGTGTCCAAAGCTTGGAATTAGAAGGAACCTTGACCCCTTTTTTACTCAGTCTTGTCTCTTATGACTACTTTTTTATTGGGCAGTGTCATAGAAATTTGGCTTGAGGGATGTGACACCTGCACACAAAAGACTGGATCCAGACTGCTTTGCTACACCAGTCAGAAGGCAATGACTAAAGGTCATTATCCACAAGTCTAGAAGTGATGTAGTAATTTTGAAGTTAATCTTTTCCTAACCATCTTCAACTTTCTAAGCCAACAATTCTCAGGTTTTCTTACTCAGAGAAGTATTCCTAAGAACACTTTCCTAACTGTAGCATGCATGCTGCACTGAAGTAAGCCTTCCTCCTGCTCCATGAACAAGGTACAGCATGCATGCTGCAAGATGAAGAGCTCAGGAGAAAAGACAAAATTTTCTCTAAAATCTTAGTGCTAGGCAATTTAGGGTTAAACTCTAAACAGCAAAAGATCACAGCTGCTAGAAATCTTCTGAAGGAACTCCCAGGACAGTTAAAACATCAAGAGTGACCTAACCATCCTGACACAAATTTAATTTAATCTCCAAATGTTTGCAAACAAAAAAAGGACTTGTGGGAGGAAGAAGAAAAGAAAAGAAAAGAAAAGAAAAGAAAAGAAAAGAAAAGAAAAGAAAAGAAAAGATCTATTTTCCAAACTTATGTGCCTGTCAAATATAATTATGTATCTATATTCACAATGTGAGGAAAGAAAAGAAAAGAAAAGAAAAGAAAAGAAAAGAAAAGAAAAGAAAAGAAAAGAAAAGAAAAGAAAAGAAAAGAAAAGAAAAGAAAAGAAAAGAAAAGAAAAGAAAAGAAAAGAAAAGAAAAGAAAAGAAAAGAAAAGATCTATTTTCCAAACTTATGTGCCTGTCAAATATAATTATGTATCTATATTCACAATGTGAGGAAGTTTAATTTTTTTTTCTTCCTTTTATCACTATGTAATAACGTCAGACACAAGACTAAGAGACTTCAGAATACAGTGTACATTGCAACACAGGTAACCTTGACTCCTCAAGCTCTGTAGCAGGCTCTGCTATACTATCAGGATGATGGAAGGGAGAAAGGATACCAGAATTTCAGTGCTTCCCTTCTCCATTTATTTTCAGCAGCCAGTATTGTGTGTACTCTGAGCCATGTGACTGCACAGCCAAAATCAGCATCTGACTCTAAACAGCTACCTCTAAATGCACATACAGGTTATAGGATTCCATAATGGTTTGTTTTTAACCTGAACAGGTTTGTTGCTGGTGATTCTTCTGGTGTCCAACACTATCCTGACAAAGGAAGGAGTGACATCCTTGCCGATTTGCCCCAGTGGATCTGTCAATTGCCAGGTTTCCCTTGGGGAACTTTTTGACAGAGCAGTTAAACTTTCACACTACATCCACTTCCTCTCTTCAGAAATATTCAATGAATTTGTAAGTATTCTACCTTTTCCTGAGAGTGAGAAAACAAAAACGTAATTTCATACTTTTTAAGCATGAACATATGTTAACATATGAAATCCTTCCGTAAGTAAGCAGTATCACTGCTGCAAAGACAGTGATAGCCCCAGTGGTGACCAAATCCATATACAGTGCTGACCATTGCTAGAATCTCCAGTACTTCTAATAAAAGATACCATTTCCCCATCATTCTTTATCTGTGTGGGACAAATTTGTGTTTGCTAGGTGCCAGTTACACTTCAAAGACTCATCTGAAACATTAGACCTGTGCAGCAAAAAAGCAGTGATAAAAGCTCTGGAACAACAATTAGTTAATAGTGTTTGGACTGAAGCTCTTCTTACTTATCTGTTTCAATAATGCCTGTCCTTGATGATCTGCAGGATGAACGCTATGCTCAGGGCCGGGGTTTTATTACAAAAGCTATTAACGGCTGCCACACTTCCTCCTTAACCACTCCTGAAGACAAGGAGCAAGCTCAGCAGATTCATGTAAGTCATACAGTGTGAGATATAGCCAGGGAGATGGGGAAGAAGGAGGGTTAAGGAATAGGGACGCAGTAGACAGAAAGAGACAGAAATCAGCTCAATCAAATAAAAATGTCAGGAAGAGGAAAGTACCAAAAAGCCAGGCAAAGTTGATTTAACATTTGCTGATACCAAGTTACAGACTATACAGAATGTGTAAGCACTAGTAACTTTCATCTTCCTTATTCCTGTATGTTATATTCAGTCATTGCATCTTATTTTGAATTACAATATAAGCTCATGGAGCAATGCCAGTTGCCATGCTTGTACAGCACTGAGAACACTGCAAACTTTGAACATTATCTTAAAACACATTATGGACCATTATTGTATTAACAAACACAAAAATACATTGGCTATATAGTGAATATTGTATGTAGCCAGAGGTGAATAGTTTTCCAGTAACTGAAACCACTAACCTCTACTAAATATAAGTTAAATAGACATTCTTCCTGTTACCATTAAGCAGAAGTGGTTAGATCATCCAAATACAGACTCTAGTGCAAAACACTGCAAAATATTTGTAAAGAGAAACATGCTATATACATCAATTTAATAATTATAAACCTAAGGGAAGATGAAGATAGCCTGTGCTCGCACATACAGTTTGAAAATATTCTTGAGAAAAAAAAAATAAGCACACGTGTATGAATGGGGTTGTGCCTGGGAGAAACCTTGATCCATTTCATGGTGGCGATACCTTCGTAATCCCAGTATTGACATATTTTCAGAATGTCATTCAGAAATTCTATTGGGAGCAATAGACTTCACAGTCCTGGGTACATAACAAGTCTGATTGTGTCCAAAGCCAGTGCATCTAGCAAAGAATAAATGGTTGAATACTACTGTAACCGTAAGGTTTATGACTTGCTCTTTCCCACAAGAAAGGACAATTTTTAAAACCAGACAACTATGGCTGGAAGAACTATTGTTCAAAGGGGAGGACACATGAGTTACATAGAGGCAATAAAAGCTATTCAGTGATTTGCCAAAATGTGTACCTTCCATTTAGTATTAAACTTTTTTTTTTAATTGGATTTTAGAATGCTAATAAAAAATCAGATAAGGAGTTCTGGTTTTTGTACAGAGATGCAACAATTGTGCTTAATAGTTTTTATCATGGAGGGTGTTAATGATGTTTTCCAATACAATACTGTAACTACTTGTGCTAATATTGTAAAACATCATGACAACAACTACAAACTTCAAAAATGTAATTGCACAGAGGTATCTAATACAGAACTACAGGGGCACATTGAGTGGTAGGTCCTGGAATAAGTTCCCAAATCACTGAGTTCAAGGATATTTCTATAAATGCCTCCTAATGCTGCCAGAATTTAGGCTTCCTATTTTAACTGCTCTTTCTTAATGTGGGTGAGCAGCATGAAGACCTACTGAATTTAGTACTGGGAGTGCTGCGTTCCTGGAATGATCCCCTGATCCATCTGGTCTCTGAAGTACAAAGAATCAAGGAAGCTCCAGACACCATCCTCTGGAAGGCTGTAGAAATTGAGGAACAAAACAAGCGGCTTCTAGAAGGAATGAAGAAAATAGTTGGGCGGGTACGTATTAGGTCCTTATCCTTCCAGCTTGTTGCTGTTACGGAAGACACACACAGTGATTCTCTACCTGGAATAGGAAAGGAAAAGTAGATGTGAATTAAAAGAGACAAGGCAGCTGAATCTGAGAACGTTTCTGCTTTCTTTTCTTCTGTTATATTGCAATTTCTAAATGGGATGTGACTGGCATAGCATAATCCAGCGTACTACCAGTGCTGCTTCAAGGTAAGGTGTAATCATCAGGACTGGTAATCATCATTCTATTTCTGAGTACTCTGATTTGCAATGATGATTTTTTAAGGGTATGTCTGTGCTTTTTCACATGCACATATTTATATGTATCTTTTAGCATATTTATACACATCTGTATACATATAAGTATTGTGTATAGTTTTCAGAAACAAATACTGTGTTTAAAACTTTTTTGGAAATCCGGGCTATTGCAAAGGTGTGGCATACATCAAAGTAATGATGGCATCTTCCATTTCTCTTTTCACACCATACTGGTTCCTCTGAACTCTAGCTCTGACTTGGTTCCCCAACACTTGTATGGTTAGACAACAAGGCTGTTTTCTGACAAAACCTGTGTTCCAATACCCCTTGTTATCAGTAATGGATTGAAAGTTTTCCTGAATAAAATAATCTCTTGTTTATTTTTAAAAGGGGCTTCTGTAAGTCCCTGAATATATCACTCTGATAGTGAGCTAGATGTTAACAGGAGGTTCTGACTTTACTGGCTTTTGCTTAGGCTCTGAGCTGTTGAACAGCGTTAAAAGTACCACCATCACTGTAGCCACCACTTTCCACTGAATCACTCACGGTGTCTCTCTCTTTCAGTTAGGTGTCTCTTTACTCGGAAACCGTAGCCCACACAAGCCACCAATGCACTTACCAGTGTAATCAAATACATTTCTATCCCATAACCACATGTAAAAAGGGTGCAGGCAAGGATCCAAGGTATCAGTAGAAGTCAGGTACTGCTAACCCTGTCAACCACCTTCTCATTCACATTACGTACAGAAGGAAGTCGAAGACAAGACTGGCAAATTCATTAGTGTCAAACCATGTTTTTGAGTGATAGTAGGTTTATCATTTTTTTGCTTGTTGCTTATACTGAGTGATAGAGCCTCCACAGATACTCCCCTATGTACATGTACAAAGTACAACTGGTGGGAAATAAGGAAGATGCACAAACACCAATAGGCACAGACTTCTTCCTGCTATGAAAGACAGATTTCTGTGACGAGAAAATTAATGATTATCTCTTTCAAACAAGGAGACCTAAACCAATCTTTATCTGAGATATTAATTCATTACATGAGTTCCTGCACATAGCTTTCTAACATTAAAAGTAACTCTTTCATTCAGCACTTTTTTTTTTTTTTTAAATGGAATCTGTGGTGGAGAGATTTGTCTGGTAACATGTTCTTGAAGATGCCTTGTAACAGAGGTAGCACCTTAGAGATGGGCCAAGGCAAAGCTGGAGATAAAAAGAACTTTTAGGAACAAGTACTAACAAAGATTTCAAGGTAGAGGAAATCAAAAAGAGATGTCACTAATGAGTCCATGCATGAAGGAAGGTTTCATTTCTCTGCAAAGTCAGATTGCACTGAACATCACTGAACAACACTGTACAAGCCCACTAGCAACTAGCATCCCCCAAGGACAGTATTTTAAAAGCTTTGCTCTACATCCAGTCAGATTCACTATCATTTATTTCAGTATCATTTTGTGCCTTTAGGTTCATTCTGGTGAGATCGGAAATGAAGTTTACTCTCAGTGGGAAGGCCTTCCATCCCTGCAACTCGCTGATGAGGACTCCAGACTCTTTGCCTTTTACAACCTGCTTCATTGCCTCCGCAGAGATTCACACAAAATTGACAACTATCTCAAGCTTCTAAAGTGTCGCCTAATACATGATAGCAACTGTTGAGTATTCATGGGCCTAATCACTTACTGAAATCATTCATCATGGTGTCCTTGTTGCTTTGGCACTTCATATTGCAAACTTTATGAAAAGTCACACTGCATAGTATCAGGCTCATCAGTACCTTTCAGGCATGTTTGTGTGAATTCTAGCTGCAACTAGAAGCACCATTTATCTTGACATTTTAAAATGTTATAAATTACTTGTATGACAAGAATACACTTTTCTGTCTAATTTCACTTAATAGTATTTCAATAATAACCAGATCATGCAGATACAAATAAAAATGTTATTAAATCCAAAAGAGCATACAGTGAGTGGTCTCAATGAACGAAAAATAGCTGGTATGGTTTATAACTTTAGCAGTAGCTTGTCTTTTTGGATTTCAGTCTCCAGTTACTGATGACAGAATATCTTACTTTCATTGTTTTTACCCCCT